CCTCTGGAGAATTGGAGAGCGTCGACCCCTCTGGAGAATTGGAGAGCTGAGGACCCACCTCAGAGGCTGCGTGCAGCGTGGGGTCCACCTCAGGAGTGGATGAACAAGGAGTCTTTAGAGTCTTTAATTCAGATAATAAAAAATCATACTCTGGAAGCAAAGAAAAACCTGGGATAGAAAGTAAAAAATCCTCCATCTGGGTCAAAACTAAATCAAAGGAGGATGGGTTATTTTTAACTGAATTAAATAGTTCAAAAAGGGCTTGATTAACATGAAAAATATTTTCAGGGGAAAATGAATGAAAAAAGGGAAAGTGTGTATGAGTGGATGTGGTGACGGGTGCCGCCCCCACCGGAAACCTGGGAGGTGAGGCGGCGGGACACACCCCCACGGAGTCACACTGAATACTCTCCGGAGGTACGGCCGGGCTGGGTCAAACAGCCACAGCGCGGAGTGGCGGTGAGAGGCCGGATTCCGCCCCCACCAGGAACCTGGAAGTTGAGGCGACGGAACCCGCCCCTGTAACGTCAACCGGACCGGACTCACCGAAACGAACAGGAGTGGACCGGAGCTCCCGCGGGACGCTGGATCTCGCCCCCACCGGAAACCTGGGAGGTGAAGCGACGGACCCCGCTCCCACGAAAACACCGGAACCAGCTCTGAAGTTCTGCTCGGCCGACGAGACCGGCCCGGCCGCTGCAGACTGCCTCCGGAACCGTCCACCGCGGCGGCGGCGGGACGGTGGATGGACAGAGATGGAGAGGAGCTCGTCCATCACAGCACGAGGAGGGAAAAAAGAAAAATGGTGAGTGTTGCCGAGTGAGAACCCTGCCCGCTGGGTTCTGTTCTGGTCGGGTCGTACTGTCATGGTTTGCGGTTAGGAGCGAACCCAGAGTGCAGAACAGGGACTCAACTCGGCAGATATACAAAAAAAGGATTTTAATGGTAAATAAAAGTACAAAATAAACAAGCTGACGGGGCAGCAAAACTTACATGAACAAGGCACGGGGAACTCAGGAGACACGAGAGACACGGGGAACTCGAGGGACCAGGAAGACTCAGGGAAAGACTCAGGGCAAGAATCAGGACAAGACTCAGGAGACCCAAGGGAGAGTACCAACGAAGATGACTCGACAAAGGACAAGACAGAATAGGACGGCTTAAATACTGGGAGAAGACGAGACATGATGACAAACAGCTGGGACGAGACACAGGTGGCAACAATTGGAAACTAATGAGGAAGCACGAGGGAAACAGACACAAACCGGGCCACAAAAAAGTATCATCCTCACACCACCCAGAAATAAGCCAGCATCTTTGGGTCTGGCTGTTGAGCGGAGCCACTTAGAGAAGATGGGTCTCTCTCAAGAAGTAGTGCGCATGATCCAAGATCCACACGCTGCCTCCGCCACAGCGCTGTACACATCAAAGTGGACAGCTTTTCCACGCTG